TCAAAGCAACTTCAATAGGTCCATTTTCGTAATCTCGCTCATAATAGCTTCTGGATTTGCAGAAATTCCATAAGCTTTTCACCTTTATAAATATTTTCCTCATATTTAATACTAGATCCTTCATCGCATACTTTTTTACATGGAGGAGTAGGTTATTCACCTTAACAAGGTGGTAAAGTATCCGAAGGCACATGGTGTGCACAAGGAGGGAAAGAGTAAGCCTAACAAAACTTATTATCTCCATAAAGATCTCCTGAAACTATCCCTGTATCTACAAAATATTACATGGCAGCTTCCGGCCATCCTCCATTGCATCCATCTCCACACTATGCACAACACGTGAGCAAATTCTAGGTCGATAATCTGACATTTTCACCTGTATGAATACATACTCTATCTGATAAAGATTCCGCAGCAGCAAAAGCCCAACAAGAACCGCAAGTTGATTAATCCCGAACTTCATATAAAGAAGGACATTATTTTCCCCATTTTTCTCTCGAATCGAAATTTTTGGGAAGGTTAAGAAGTATTTTTTCCTCTTTTTTTAAAGTTATACTTGATTAAGTTTTTAATAAACCCATATGAGCTTTTATTCCTTATATATCAGTGTTTTCGAAACGATTATTTTAACCGGCTTTCCATGTGGTTTTTATTCCGTTTATTTAATTGGCGATTTTCTCAAGTTTGGATTTGTATTGTTTATGAGAATCAAATTAAATTTGAGGATTATATATATATTTGTAAATTGAGTAAAATGTTAATAGAAATATAGATAATGTTATTATTATTTAATTTAATTTCATTATTTATTTTTTGCAAAAAGTTATTAAATTTATTTAAATAATATATTAATATAATATATAATTATATTTATTTAAATCTTATTTATTATTATATTTTTAACAAAAATATTCATGGGTATATTTTTTTTTAATAAATTCTTTTACTATTTTTATTTTTCGTTAAAATTTTCGATGATTTCAAATAATTTTAACATTAAAATAATAAATTGATTATAATGATTTTTATAAATAATTAAGTAAAATTGAATTTTTAAACATATTTTTTAATATCTAAAAATAAAAAGAATTTTTATAAATAAGATTTTAATATATATATAACATAATGTTTCAATTATTAAGTTAAATAACAAAAAAATGCAATTTAAAAATTGTATTATAATAAAATATACATAAAATATTATTTATAAAAATAAACAACTGATATTAATTATTAATAACACAAAAAAAAAGATAAAAGCAAAATAAAAGAAGAATTAAATAAAAAAATTCATATAATTTTTTTTTAAACTTCACATAAAATTTCAATTTAACATATATTTTTCATCTTCAGTTTAATTTTTTATATATTTATCAGCAGCACAGCAAAATTAAAAGAGATAATTTTATAAAATATTTTTTAAATTATTCAACTTTTAGTTATTTATTATTTGTTAAAACAATATATTTTAAAATTTTTCTTCAAATATAAAAACAATATTTAAATTAAATTATCAAGAAAAATATATTAATTTATACATAAACAGTAGAATGTTTCGCTAATATAGTAATTTAATATATAATATGAAAAAAATATTTTATTTTTAGAAAACATTAAAAAAAAAAAAAAATTTATTGATTAACTTGAATATAAATATAAATAATATAGTCAAAATATATATATATATATATATATATATATTATTTTATTATATTAATATTTTTTATATATATAATTTTATATTATTTTAACATTTATTTTTTATATTTTTTATTATTTTAATTTTTTATTTTTTAGTTAAAAAAATTTATAGTTTATAATTTATTAAATAAATATAAATATATTTAATTATAATAATTTTTTTTATATTATATTTTTATTTAATATATCTATTTAAATATAAAATAAAATTTCTTTTATATTATATTTATATAATTTCAAATTATATAATATTAAAATTATTATTAATTTTTTTATTTTATTTTATTTATAAATTTAACTATTTAATTAAATAAAACATATTTAAAATATTAATTTATTTAAACTTATTAATTTATTTTTAATTATTCATTTTTAATTTAAAACAAATTTATTATTTAAAACAAAAAAATATTTAAAGACTTAACCTTAACCTAATAACAATTATATTTAAATATAAAATAATAAAAAAAAAAATTATAAAAATTTTTAGAAAATAGAGAATAGAAATATAAAAAAACTTATAAAACAATAATTTAAAATTAAAAAAAATAATAAAAAATGTATAAAATAAATTAATTAAAATCAGTTTAATTTTTAAAATTAGAAGGTTCTGATCTGCAATAAGGAACAATATATTTAAACTTAATATACGAAAACCTAAGTTAAGTTCCAATAATGCTATTATATATTGAAATATGAAATTTATACAAATAGCTAATTCAAGAACTTGGCTTATAAATATTATAAGATATTCCTTTATAACAATAAATATAATTGGATATAGAAACATAAGGTAATATAGAGACTTTTTTTATGAAATCGTTTAATAATTATTAGATTTATTACAGTAATTCATTTTAAGAATTTTTAAATAAAATATAAAGGAGATGCCCTGAATTACAATTAAATTCAAATATAATAGATTAGATAAAAATATAAGCCTATAAAAAATAACAACATTAATACTAATAACATTTTGGATTTCCTTTAGAAAAAAATAAATAAATGGGAAATGATTAATAAGATGAGGATTTTTAATTCGAAGAAATAAAATACAATAATAAAAAACCATTTTAAAAAAATAGCTAAAAAGTCAGAACATATAAAACTTAATAAATAAACAGAAAAAATAATAAGATTTTCTAAATACTATAAAAAATATATTAAAAGCAAATTAAATTTCATAAATAAATACCAAAAATAAATTGATAATAAATAAATTAAATAAATATTCAATTGTATACAATGTCAAAAAGGAATGAAAATTGGTTCCAAATGTAATAACTGTTCCAATTTTAAATAATTTAATTATTCTTATTATTGCTCTTTTTGTCAAAAAAATAATTGTAAAAGCTGCAAGCAAGATCTTAATTAAATTAATTCTTCCAAAAATATTTTAACATACATAAGATTGCTTTTTGAAGAAAAATTTTCGTGTTAAAATTGTTTTGGTTTCTTTCCTATTTTTCATTTGGATAAACATTTTTATAATTGTGAAAGAAACTTTACTTTATGTTAATTTTGTAAATAAGAAATGCATTTTAGCGAACTGTAATATCATTGCTTAAATTATTGTCCTCTTGTAAAAATTAAATGTGATATATGTCAGGATAAATTTCTTAAATTTAAATAAAATAAACATAATTGTATAAAAAGTTTAAGAATATTAGATAATAAATGTATGAAAAAGTTTGATAATATGACTGATAATATTGATGAAAAACTTTAAAATCTACAAAATTTAATTAATAATTTTAATAAATGAGATTTTTTATTATAATTATTATTATATATATATTTATATATATATTTATATATATATATATATAATATTTAATAGGAATTATGTTATATATTAATTATTTTTTTATAAATAACATATATAGTATATTTTTTTTTTAAATAAAAATTAATAATATATTATTTTTATTATTATTCATAAAATTAGATTAATTTTAAATTATTTAATATTATCAATAATTTTAGTATTTTTATTGATCAAATTATTTTTCAAGTTTATATATTCGACTGGGAATTTTTATTTATTTTAAATTATTTACTATAAGAATTCCAAAAATTTATTTCCAATTAAATTATCTTATAAATAAATCTATTTTATACTACTTTTTTATATTTTTTGTATTAATAAAATAGCTCCTTTATCTGTGATTTTATTTCTTTGAATTTTCAAAACTTTTAATTATTTACTATTTTCTATAAATTCACTTAAAAAAGATATTCCTTAATCTCCTAATTCTTATTTTTATTTTAATTTATTAATTAAAAAAAATATTTAAAAACTATACCAGCAAAACTAAAATCGCCATTAACTAAATTATCTTTTTTAATTTCTTCGATCATTCTTACATATTTTTATTCCAAAATAACACTTTTTATATAGTTCTATCCATTTCCGGTAATTAAATTTGAATTAAAAAGACTATCATCAAAATTTAGTAATAATTATTCGTTTATTATATTTATAGAAACTATACTTAACTTTCTTTTCCTTTAAGTAGGGATTTCTTTTTTATAAAAAGTTTAATTTTAATTAATATCAGATTTGTATTTTGAATAAGAAAAATCATTATTTTTTAACGGACTTTGAATAAAAGGTACTCTTTTTTTGATTAATAACAAAAGCATAAATAAAAAAATATAATCTTTACGAAAAAACTTAATTTTATTTTTTATGAAGTAAATGAGATAATTCTAAATCTTATTTATACGAATAATTAATCAAAGAGTTTAATATATTTTTATAATTTTAATTCAATTCAATATTAATATTATCAAATTAAAACTCTTCCAAATGTTTTTCTAAATTATAATTTGCCTATTCTATATTTAAAATTAATATTTCACCTTAATTTATTATATCATTTTCATTATTTATATCATTTTCATCTGCCATAAGATCTAATGAATAACTTTCTTCATTTTAATTTTCACAGAAAGCTGATAATTTTTTCCAAACACTATTATATATTTTTAATTATTGATTTAATTATTTATTTATATACTTATTTTTCCATATTTAAATTAAATTAATAGCATCTTTAGGACCTTCTTTTAAAAAAGAAATATAATTATTTTCCATATATTTTGTTTTTTGATTAATTTCGTTTAGAATTTATATTTATTTTTCTTTTAAAAACTCAAAAATATTCTTTTTTTTTTTTTTTTTTTTTTTTTAAAAAAAAAAAAAAAAAAAAAAAAAAAAAGGAAGAAAGATAGTAAAGTAAGAAATAACATTTACCTCAAAAATTTTATTTGTTTCTGATTTCGCTTTATTCTAATTTTATTTGAGAAATACTTTTATTGTATTTTCATGATTTTAATCTGTCAAAAAACATTATTTACTTTCAATAATTTTAAACATTCCAATTAAAGTTTCTGCCCTTTTAATTATTTCAGTTAGAACCTCATCTTCAGTTTTTACAAAATGATTTTTATGTTTTCCAAATAAAGCACAATTTGGACAAATTTTTTATTTGCAATCTACACAAACTAATATATATATATAGATTAAAAATAAAGTATTTATTTTAAGACAAAAAAAGAATAAAATATACCTATATCTATTATTTTATAATGTAATTTGCATATGTTAGGCTTTTTTTATAGTTGTGATTAACTTTTTAAATTATTTTTGTTAATTTAACTTAAAATCATTTAAAATTCTTCTAATGATTTTTTACTTTTTGATAAAGGATTAGTCGATTCTTTTTTTATTCTTTATATTATACTTTTGTTTAAAGGAAATTTATCAATTATATTATTATCCTCTTAATGATAATAAAATTCTTTCTCTTAGCTTAAAATACTTTTATTATTTTCTAGTTTTTCGACTATACAACTTTCGCATAATGTATGTCCACAATTAGGTAGCATTCTTGGCTTTTTTTGCCTTCTTAATCATAAATTAAATTACATAAAGGACACTATAATTCATTATTTTGGTTTTACATTTATTTATTATTTGTAGAAATAATAAAAAATAATATATATATTATTATAGTATATGTATTTTAATATAAAAAACATAATAATTAATAAAAATAAAATAATAATTAACATATAATAAATTATATTAATTATATAATATTATTACCATAATAATAAATTTTAATTATATAAATGTATTGTGAGTTTATCATATAAATATATAAAAAGTTTATATTTTATACAATTAAATATATTTATATATATATATATATAAAATTAATTTAACAAATATATAAATTTACACATAAATTTAATAAAATATTAATTTTTCGTAAATAAATAAAATCTATATGTGGAATGTTCAGTTAATTTAAATTATTATGTCCGATTATCTTTATTTATTTACTTTTTAAAATAAAAATAATAATAAATAACTTTTTCATTAACTACCTTATTATACTATTCAATAATCATGAAAAAATAATGGTTCATAAATGCCTGTTGTAATATCAAATATATAATTTATTCTAAAATCAAACATAAAAACTCACATATACATATTTTTATCACAAACAAGTCTATAAAAATCTTTTTTTCTATATATTAGTAATTCCAAAGCACATAAATTCAAAAATGCATAATGTCCACTAAAAAAAATCACTATTTAATCCATAAGGTACTACAATACTTAGTAATTCAGGTCTTCCCAATAATAGCCATCGTTATGGAAATTTTAAAGTAATAATTGTCTAAGTTAACACCCTTCATTATTTAATATAATGCTTTTGAATATATTAATCTTCCTGTGTTTATTCTAAATATTAAATATATAAAAAACTAAATCTATTAATAATGAATTATAAATTTGTTAAAATAAGGCTTTTTAGTAATCTTTATTTACTAAATTGCTTAAAAATTCTAACTTTTTGTGAATTATATCGCTTATACATTCTATTTGGGTATAGTGGGAACTGTATATTTCTTTCCTATGTATACTATGGAAATAAATATTAATACAATTAAGGTTTTTGAAAAAATATTTCTTAAATAATTTTATCCGTTTTATTATATATATATATAAATTTAAAAATATAAAGAATTTTATTTTTATATTTTTTCAAAAAAAAAAAAAAAATATTTATAAATTAAAATAAATTAAATTTTATACAACTTTTTTTTAGTATGATTATAATAATATTTTTGTTTATAATATTTATTTTTTTCATATTAATTATTATTATTAATTTTCTTCTTTTTTGGAATTTTCCTCTTTTTTGGAATTTTCATCGAAATATTTTTTTTAATTTTATTAATTTTTCCATTTATTAACCCATGTTTTCTATTTATTATTCAAAATAAAAAATATATTAATATATTTTACAATTCTTATAACTGTTGAAAATTAAATTGCGTTTTTAATCTCTTCTTCATTTATTTAATCAGCAATATTATTATTTCTATAAAAAATATAAAATTATATAAATTAAAAAATAATAATATACAATTCATCATTTAAATTGATTTCTTCATCTTAATTTATCCATTTATTTTAGGAAATTTCAATTAAAGTCAATCTTTTTAAAGGATTTTTCTCAATCATTTTTTTTAAAAGTTATTTCAATTCATTACTGCATTATCTATCTGAAGGAAAACTTAAACTATTTTTATAAAAAAATATAATAAAAAGCAACTATATATTTTTCTTTTATATAAAAAAATTTTTTACGATTTATTTTTTATAACATCTATTATTTTAAATTAATTAGAATGATAAAAAGGTAATTAAAGGAAAGTAAAACAATAAAAAGTGATCCCTAAAGACCATATATCCGCACATTTTCCATTATATCCTTTTTTAAAATCTAAAACTTCAGGCGGCATAAATTATAGAGTTCCTAAATTTCCATCAATATCACAACAACCTTCTCCAGTAAAAGTGGAAACTCCAAAATCAGCCAACTTCGCATTATAGCTTTCATCTAAAAGAATATTTTGAGGTTTTATGTCCCTATGTATGATTGAATTAATATGTACTTTTAAAATACTTAAGAAAAATTTAAAGGAAACAAAAAATTATTAATTTATTTTTATATTTTTTTAATTAATAATTTTTTTACAATAATAAAGACCTTTTATGCAACCTCTGAATATTTTTCTTAAAAATTTTTCATTAAAAGGTTCATGTTAATTTGGATTGCAAAAATAAAATTTCTAATCGACATCATCCCATTCAATTAATTAACCTCCTTTAGCATATTCTAATACTAATTTATATATATTTTTTTTAATAAAAAAACGTATTTATATATTATTCCATTTTTTTTTTATATACCCATATATAACTTATCATTATGTTAATTTTCTATTACTTCATATAATTTTATTACATTTGGATGTTATAGTTTTTTCATTATTGCTATTTCACGTTTTACTAATTCAAGTTAATCTTTTGATTTTATTACTTTTTTTTTTTTAGAAAAAAAACAAAAAAAAATAGTAAATAATATATGTTTATTTTTTTACATCCATCTTAATCTTCATAATAGTTTCTCCTTTTTTATAAAATACTTTTTTTTAATATTTTTATTGCATATTTAATATTTTCATCTTAAATTTAAACCACTAATTTTACTTTACCAAATGAACCTTATCCTAAATTACCTAAAAAAACATAATTATTTAATATTTTATGTCCCTTTTTTTAAATTAATATTGCAAATAAAACTTCTTAAAATACTTAATTATCTAATGATTTAATTATTTTAAATGTTTCCTTTACTCTGTTTTTTCTCTTTTTTTGTTTTTTTAAATGAAATATAATTTTTTATTTTAAAAATAATAAAAATTTACAGTTTAAGGTATATAATTGCCTTTATTATTTTTTTTTTATATAGATTATAATTAAGGATTATGATTTTATACTTAATGAATGACTTTATGTTTTTTTTAAAAGCAACATCCCATTGAAAATTAAAAAAAAAATATTTATTATTTTTTTAAAGAAGATTAAGTATTATATTTAAAAATAATTAAAAATTAGAAAATATTATAATTTTGAATTAAAAAAACTAAATTAATAATATATATAAATATACTATTATATTAATATTTTTAAAATATAAAATTTTAATTTTTTATGTATTCAATAAATATAATTATAAATATATTAAAAATTTTTATATTTGATTTACTTATTATTTATTTATTTAAGTATTTTAAAATTTAATAATATAAAAAATTATCTTAATATAATAAATATATTAAACATATATATATATATATATAAAATAATAAAATAAATTTTATTTTATTTGTAAATTTTAAAAATAACTGAATATATATATTATTTTTATTATAATACTAATAATAGATATAAATAAAAAATATATATTATTTAAATTTTACATATATATATTACTTTTTTTAAAATAAATAAGTTATTTTTAATAATTATAAAAAGTTTCTATTTACTTTAACTTTTTTTTTTTTCTTTTAACTTTTTTTTTTTTCTTCATAACTTTTTTACTTTATAATTATTCAATAAATTATTTTTAAGCATTTATAATTGCTTAATTATTTTATTTAATATCTTCTTTTTCGTTATATAATTATTATATTTTTTCTCTAAAAATTAATAAAGCATTTTTTTTTCTTAAACAACTCTTTCGATTAAATTATCTTTTGATTATATATCAACTTTTAAATCGTGATTTAGTTCATTTTCATTTTATTTTTATACAATAATTAATTAACTACATTTTATAAATATTAATTTTTTTTTATAATTCTTAATAATCTTTTAAATTAATTTAGGTTTTTTAATATTCTTAAAGTTATATTTTTTATTCTTTAACAGCTTTTTTATTATATGATAATTCTTGTTTTAATTATTAATTTTCTTATTGTAATTTTTATATTTATTATAAATTTTTTTTTGATTGTCTTTATATTCTAATATTAAATTTAATGCTTAATCTATTTCATTTTAAAGGCTTTATTTTTATTTTTATTCTTTCTATATATTATTATCATATGATTTTAATTTAATTAGCGATTTTGATGTTTTTTATTAACTATTTATTAATTCTTAAAGTGTATATTATGATTAATTACTATATTATTAAGAAATATTATGAGACTACATTTTTCTTAAAAATATTAAATAATTTATATTTTATATTAATTAAAAAACTTTTTTATATTATTTTTTTCTTATAAACACTAGAGTAATAAATAATTATCTTATATATATTTATCAAATAATAAAATATATTACCTTAATATATTAAATATATATGTATTTTAAAAAATTTAAAATAAGTTTATAATAATTATTTCCTTTTTATATATTCATCTTTCTTTAAAATTTTAAAATAAATAGATAAATATTAATATTTACATTTATATAATTTTGTTTTTTATAAAATTTAATTTTTATTTTTATATAATTTGAAAAAAGCATTATAAAATAAAAAATTAAATGAAGTATTTAAAATAAAAAAATAGTATATTTTATTTAATATAAAATTGATATGCAAATGTGTTAGTTTATTTTTTTTAATTTTTAATTTTTTATTAGATTTAAAATTGAAGACATCATTATTATTTTATAATTCTTATTTTTAATTTTACCTTATATACTAAATTTATATTCTTTAAAAAAAAAATTCAATATAATATTTTTTTATTACTTTAAAAATAAATTATTTATAATGTTTTCATAGAAATATTAAATATTTAATTATTTTAGATATTAATTATATAAATATATATATTATTTATATATTTTTTTTTATTATATATATATTTATATATATATATTTTATATATATATACAAAATAATTTTATTTATAAAAAATTAATTAATAATTTTTTAAATAGCATTATTATTCTATTAATATTTATGAGTTAAAATGATTTATGTCCAACATTAAGTTATCAAATTATGATTATGAACTTTAGTTTATATAAATAAAAGCACAAACTTTTTATAATTTTTTTTTTATTTTTTTTTAATTTCCACTTAAATTAGTATTTTATAAAAAATGAAGGTTTTTTTTTATAACTTTATAATAGTTAAATAGTTAATAATGAAAGTTATAAAGATATTTTTGAGCATTACACTTAGAATGCATATTTGATATACAAAATTGCTATTTTTATGTTTATAAAATGAAAAGCCTGCTGAAATAAAATTCCATTAATAAAATTAGATATTATTATTGTTTCTTTTTTAAAATTTAATCTAGTTAAAATATAAATAATTTCATTATTTTATTTTCGTATTATTTCTGTAATTATAATAATTTTTTATTTATTATTATAAATAAATCTTATTTTAAATATTTTTATATATTATAGACATTTCTGAAAATAGTATTTTTTTAAATATTAGTAATAATTTATAAATTTCTTAAAAATATATAAATCTTTAAATTATAATGTATTTTAATATTAATTTTATATAAATGCTTCTATTAAATAATATATAAAAATTACATTTTTTTTAAAAAAATATAATATTTAATAAATATTAAATTAATATTAATATTAATGTTAGTGTATTTATAAAAATATATTTCAAACTACTATTATTTAAAGAATATTAAAAAAAAATATTATATAAAATTTCAAAATAATTACTAATAAAAACATTATTAAAATTTTTAAATTTAATTATAAAAATAAAATATTACATTCAAATTAGTAATTAAAATATATTAATGAATGATTTCTAAATAGATTACCGAATTTCTAAAATAATTTAAACAAAATACTAAAAACTAAAACAAGAGTAATCAGACTAAAATAAAAATGAGATGAAACTCAAATTTAATTCATAAAATCACAAAAACACAGAATAAAAACCTTAACAGGAAGAAGAACAATAAAAAAATGAAATTGACGCATATAAAATTCAAAAACTAAATATAGAATTCAAGTAACACGTGCTTTCATTAAAAATACAACAAAAGCAACAAAACCTTGAATTTAAATTTAAAGCTATACTAGACAATTTTATCTAATATAATCATTAAAAAGAAATAAAGCTTGAAAAAACATAAAAACAATTATATAAATTATAAAACAACAGGTAAATAATAAATATATATATATTTATTATTTTTAATGTTTTTACTAAATAATATTATACAAATAAATTAGTAAATAATATTTTATTATAACATTTTTTTATTTAGTATTTAAAAAAATATAAAAATAATAATTAATAATATAAACATATAAATTAATATATATATATATATATATATATATATATATATAAATATATATATATATATATTTATATATATATTTTATTTTATATTTTTTATATAATATATATATTTTTGCATATTAATATAATAGATATATATAAATAGATAAAAGTAATCCTTTAGATAATTTAAACAACAATAATAATTTTCGTGCTTTTTCAAATCAAAAATACGCTAAATTAGATGAAATATATCCATAATAAATTGAAGAATTAATACAAAAACTTTAATCTGAAGTCTTAGAAAAAAAAGTTCGTGTAAAGCAGGAATAATTTTATACAAGATCTTTAAAGCATATGGAATAAAGATTAATAAATTAAAAGTTGGAAGTTTAAAAAATGTTTCTTGAATAATAAAATTTAAACGAGAATTTAACCAGAAACGTCATTTGTGTAAATGAAGATCAGAAAAATACAAAAACAATACAAGTATAAACTGTTTTTAAACAATAATACGTTAAGTTAAAAATTAAACATATTCAAGAAATTTTCCAAGACACAATAAACAAAAAAACTTTTTTATAAAAAAAAGCCGAAAAAGAACTTAAGTTAGAATTTTAGTAATTTAAAGACATAAAATAGGAACTTATAAACGCTAAATAAAAAGTTAACGAAACAGAAGACTAAATAGAAGAACTAAATATTGAATTTAAATTAAAAATAAAAAAATAATAAGAATTAGACTCACTACTAGATCATTTAGAAAATTTGAATTTATTAGCAAAAGCTTTTATATATGAAAATAATATAAATTAACATTTTACATAAAAATTAGAGTTTAAACCTTAATTAGAGTATTAGATGAAAAGAAAAAAAAAAGGCAAAAAAGAATTATTGAAATTATCTGAAATAAAAAATGAACTTTAAACAGATAAAGAAAAAGCTGAGTTTATAGTTTAAACCATAAATTGGTTCTATTAAGAACATAGGAATGATGTAATTAAGTTTTTTGATAATATTAGTGAAAGTTATAGATTTATTTGTAAATTAGGAGATAATTTGAGAAATAATATAAGTAATATGGAAATTGAGAAGAAAAAATAAAGTGATATTTTATAAATACTAGAAGAAGAATTAATATAGAAGAAAACTTTATATAATAAAAATAAATAAAACTTAGAAATATATGTTGAAAAAGTAGAAAAAATAGCGAAAAATATACTTATAATTAATTGGTATCTGATCTTTTTACAAATGAGAAAAATATGCAGAATTTCTTATTATAAAAATAATTCAATAATAAAAGTGAAGAATAAGAATTTGAGAAGATTTTTAATACTTTCCTTACAGGAAGTAACGGAATGTTAATGAAATTTTGCTCCTTACTCAATTCGATAAAATTTAGGGGCGGAGAAGATTAAGAATCTTAACATTTGGTTAAAAATATGATGGTTTTTTTGAAAAATTGGAATATTAATTTTACAGAAATTGAATAAAATAATGAGTTTTATATCATCTAGTAATTAAGAAAACTAAAAAGTAATTATTTGATTGAAAAAGGAATTTTTTAAGAAGAAAATTTGATTAATATTTTAAGCTAAGTGGAAGGTTTGGCTAGTGTTTTAAAAGTTTATGAGAGTGTTTTTGGAGATTTTGGGAATTTTAAAGAGGTTTTTTAGGAAGTTTTGAAAAATTTAGAAAAAGAAGAGACATATGAGAATTTATAAAAATCTATAAATAATATGCCGACTTAAATGAATATTTAAAGAAGTTTGAACTCTTTTGTAGAAATTTTGTGCTCTAATTTTATTATTTAGAAATATGTGACAAAAGGTTAAATGATTAAATATATTAATAAAATAAAATAAAAATATGATGAGAAATTGAAGAAATATTTAATTAAAAACAAAAGCGTTTTTTCTGATGGAGAAAAAATATTGAATATAGACGAAGATTTTTTGATTAAAATTTAATAAAAAAATTGGGATAAACTTTTTTCTTAAGCTAATAAAAAGGTCAGAAATTAAATAGAGTAAATTTTTTAATAATTTAATTTAATTTTAGGCCATATTATTAACAAAAATATTAATGAAAATTCAGAATTTTAAAATTAAAAAAGAGACAATTCTAAACTGAATAAAATGATGTAAAATATATAAAACTTTAAAGCTTCGAAAATAAAATTTTATTAAGGAATACATACTTAAAATCGATATGATACTTATTAGTGTCATAGTAAAGATACTATTATTCCAAAAATAAAATGGAATAAAGAAAATGTTAGTTTTTTTAAAATGATAAAAGAAAATATAAATAGAATAAACTAAGGAGAAGAACTTATTGATTTATAAGAATAATTGATAGATTTTGAAAATACGCGAGATTAATGTAAAATAATATGTGAATAAGATAAGTTTAAAAATATAGACTAAGATTAACAAACTAACACTTCAAGTCAGGTTTTATCTAAAAAATAAGAAGAAAATAACAAAAAAAAGGATCAAAAATATATAAATGAAATAAGTAGTATAAATAATGAAAATAATAATAAATAAAAAACTTTCAAAATAACTCATTAATCTCCTAAAAATAAATATTTAAACGAAACAATCTAATTAGAAAAAAAAAATATAGTTCATTATGATAAATTATATAGAAAAAATAAATTCCAATTTTTAAATTAAAAAATTCAAAATTTAAGCAAAACTAATCCGAATTCCCCTACTAAAAAAAGATGTACCTTTGTAGATATAATTAAATAGAAATTTTATACAAAAGAGCTTGAAAAGTAGTAAATTAAAAACGTAGAAATGAATTTTGAAACAAATAATTAAGAAAAAAAACATGAAGAAGAAAAAAATTAACATATGTAACAATTATTAGATGAAACATTTATGAGAGACATAAAATAAATGCTTTTTTAAGAAAATAACTTTAATAATCCCGATAATGATGCTTTTAGTTAATACATGTAAAATCTTAATAACAATCTTTTATAAAATAAAAATATTAATTTGAATAAATAATAATTCGTTTAATAATAGGTTAAGGTAATCCCTTATATTTAATAAGATATTTAATCTTAACAAAGTATTTTTTAGGCGAAAAAAAAAAAAATAACATAATTTTCAATTAGAAGTGTAAGTCCTCCTATTAATAGAAATAAAAAAGATGGTAAAGAAAATTTAAAAAAAAATAATCAAATAAATAACAATATTTTAAATGAGGAATAATTCCATAAATAATTATGGAAAGATGTAAATAAATATTTTTCTGTAAAATAAAATAACTTTGTTTAAAATAAATGATTTTAATACATAAAATTATATTTTCATAGAGGTATTTTTTTTAATTTTTCAGATAAAAATTCTGATAATTTTACATTTTTTTATACTCTTTATTATAATTCTTATATATTATTTTAAAGCTCACTAATTAATTATTTTATTTCTTCAATCTCATCTTCTTCTTACATTTATTATTATTATTATTATTATTCTTAAATATTAATTTTTTAATTTTAACTGAAAATATATTTTTCATAATTTTGAATATCTATGCATTGTAATTTATCTTCTTATATTATATTTTTATTTCTTATATTATCATAACCACTGCAAGTCGCAATATAAAACTAACCTATATTAGTTTTACAATTTTTACAATTTATGTTTTAATAAATATTTGGATCTCCTTATTGCTTTTAAATATTTGGAGTTTCATCTTTGTATAATGTAAGTGGTAGATTTTTTAAATATAAGCATATACTATTAGATAAATTTATTATTTTTTGGATTTTTTCTGGAATAAAAATAAATGCAGAACAGTTTTTACATGTAAATATAAGATTAGTTTACATATTTTTTTTTATTATTTAATTTTTTATATTTTGCTAATAATATATAATAATTATTTAATTTAAAATATTTCTTATTTTAATATTCAGATACTTATTTTAAAAATTAGAATCATTTCAGGTTATTTAAAAAATTTATAAATACTAAAAAAAATACTTTTAAAAATATAATAATAATGATATAATAAATAAATATTATTATTATACATATTTTTTTTTAATAATATAATATATATAATATTTATTAAAATAATTTTTTTGTATAAATATTATTAATAATAATAATCTAACTTAAAAAAATAAATACTTAACCCAAATAAAAATTCTTATAAAAAATTCAATTAAATTAAATAAAAAAAAAATTAATCATCGAATCATTTAAAAAATATATATATATATATATACATTTATATTTTAAATAAAAATATTTAAAAAACTACTTAAATATAATTAAAAAACATACAAAAAACTAAAAAAATCTAAAAAACGATTAGATATAAAAGATAACAAAAAGTATGAAAACAATACTAATTTTACTAGGTATTTTTTTAATGTTTATAGAATCCTCTAAATTAAATTCATAATCTTAAAAGTTTAAAATACACAAAAAAATTCTTTAGAAAAATAAATTTTAAGCAAATAACCATTATTAATATTAAATAGTAAATATATACAAAAGAAACAAATTAGCTTTTGTGGAAGGATTTTCATTTATAGATAAGAATACATTATTAGAAAGTACAGGTTTATACGGTAAAAGTGGCATTCATTATATCGATTTAAATACAATGTAATAAATGAACAATTTTAATTTAGATAAAGATTATTTTGGAGAAGGATCAAGTCGAATAGTAAATGAAGATGGGTAATATATAATATATTTGATGACTTATAATGAAAGAAAAATATTCAAATTTGATAATAATTTAAAATAAATTATTTAAGAAATTGAAATGCCTAAAGAAATAAGAGAAGGATGGGGAATGTGTGTATATAATAAAGATACTTTATTAGTTTCGGATGGCTCAAATAGAATTTTTCATATAAATGCTCATAACTTTTCTATTAAAAAAATTATAGAAGTACCTTAATATAAAAACTTAAATGAACTCGAAATGGTAAAAGGAAATCTTTTTATTAATATTTTTATGAGTCCTTATATAATTGTTATAAATCCGGAAAGTGGAAAAGTTTTAGAATAATTAGATTTTAGTTAATTAGAAAAATAGCTTTATCAAGAAATTAATTTAGATTATGAGGCAGTTATGAACGGAATCGCATATCATGAGGAAACTGATACTTTACTTTTGACAGGAAAATTATGGCCATATATTTATTAGATTTAATTGATTAAAAGTTGAGAGAAAAGAAAATAAATTTTGAGTAGTTATTATTTTAAAAAAACTTATATTTATTTATTATTTTTATTAATTAATATTTCTTATCTTATCATTATTACTATCATTATCAGATATTTTATTTTATTTTTAATCCATTTTGTATTTAAATTATTATATTTTTTTTAGAAGCTTATTTTAATTTTTATTACTTTTTTTTAATTTCTTTTAAAATAACAAACCTTAAAAATTTTTTAATAAAAACAGTATATTTATATATAATCTTATATTTTTTATTTTAATATAAATTTTTATATTCGTTTTTGTATTTTATTTGAATTATTTTAATTTCAAAAAAATAATATAAAAAAAGAAAATAATTTTAATAATAATTAATTTATTAGATATATATATTTATAAATAAATAAATATAAATGTTTATTTTTAAAAGATATATAAAAATATATTATAAAATATAAAAACATTATATAAATAATTTTAATAAAACTTAAAAATATAAATGAATAGAAGTTATAACATAAACTAATAATAAAATAACTTAATAAATTAGAACCAATAAAGCGTAATTGAACCAATTTTTTAAAACAATAGTAATATTCCTAATATACAATAATAATCCTAGAATTAAAATAGTTTAAATTCTTCTTAAAGTTAGCAAAATAATTTTTAAAAAAGTGATTATGAATTTCAATCGTAAAAACAGTAAATATTCAAAGAATCAAACACAAAATTACATTAATAATAATAAACAACAATTTAAAATAATGATTAGATGGAATTAGAAATGGAATGTATATTTATAGATGATTTAAATTAAGATTCTCCTCAAGTAAAATAATTTGAAGAAAATCAAATAAAAATCACTTTAAAACAAAATTAAGAATATATACAAAAACTTTAAGATTATTAAAAATAAATAAATGTAAGAATAAAATAATAAGTAGAATAAAATAAAATTGGTAATTCAATTATTTAAAATAGTTAAATGATATTAAGTAAATTTAAAAGTTTAATAATTCAAGGAATTAATGATACTTTACAAACACAAAATAATATATTTTTAAAATATAAGAAAAATAATAGTTTCTAGCATAGTGAATTCAACGAAATTATTTAATAAATTTTTATTAAATCAATCAATTATTAATGTTAATAAAATTAAAAATTCTTTATTTTAAATTTTCATAAACTTTTTTAATAATATGTCCATTTAATAAGATTCAATAAATTACAAAATAATCAGATGTTAAATATTATAGGATTTAATAAATAAATAGTTTAGTAAATTATTGATTAATAAATAAAATAAGAAGGTTTTTAATAAAATTAATAAGTTGAGCTTTAAAAAGTTTAAACTAATAATGAAAATGATTAATTTTAACGATATCTAATATAGTTGAAAGGTTTTTATTTTAATGAAATAGAAAATTTTATTCAATAAATATAATACGATTTTATCGATAAATTTAACAATAATATTAATAATTTTATTTAAAGCTAAAATAATAGTTTATTGTAAAAATTAGATAATCTTTAATAATTAATTTAATAATATTAAAATATTGTTTAAAAGTATTTTTTTTTATTTAAAATTTTTTTATTTCTAAATTTAAAAATTTAGTTAAAAAAATGATTTGAATGAATAAAGTCTTTGTATTCTTTAAAATATTTATATTTTAAAATGTGAAAATTTGATTAAAAATATAAACTAAACTTTTTGTGAAGTAAAAGAAAAGTTAAATTAATATATGTATGAGTCTTTTAATGAAAAAAATGGTTATGATTCTAATATTAATTTTGTTTAAATTAATATTTTAGAAGAATCAATTTATAAAGAGTTATAAAATTCAGGATATTTAAGCCATAAACTATAATGTTTCTTAAAAAATTTGTAAGATATTTCCGATAAATAAATAATTTAACAATAAACATACTAAAATATTAATAATCTAGAAGATCCACTATAGATAAAAGAATATGACGAAAGTAATAATATATATATATATTAACAAAAAAAATTAACATATTTTATTTTTAAGTAATGAAAATAATTAATAAACATATTAATGTATTTTATGATTAAATAAATAAACTTTGTTAAACAAATTTAACTATAAAATAAGGATTAATAGATGAACTTAAAGATTAATAAGTATTTTTTTTTTTATATATTAATTAATTTTTTTTTATAAGATTAAAGATTCTTTAATATTATTTGTTAGGATTTATGATTTATTTTTTAATCTTTAAATTTAAATATCTTAATTTTATAGAAATAAATTATTACAAGAAACGCAAAAAAATTAAGAAATAATAAAATTTTTATAGAACTTTTTTGACACAAACAAATAATTTTTAAAATTCTAAGAGTTCACAATTGAATTTTAAAACTAAAATTTATCTAACAAAGGATATTGTTATTATTAATCTAGTAAATATATACAAATAACACTTAGATTAAATGAATAAATATACTAATAAAAAATAATATATTAAAATACATAAGCGTATTTAATATTAGAAGAAATCGTAAATAAATGTATATTTGTTTTGCCTTTTATTTGTTTATATTTGAATGATAAAAATTAAGATTAATTAAATTTTGATAATTATTAAAGTGATTTTAAAATATATTTGGAAAACATAATTTAATTTAATAAATAATTTCAGTTTTAATTCTAAACAAATAAAAAAATTAAAGATATTGATATTTATTGCGACTTAAATATTAATTGTGATATTATGTAACTTGATTAATATATAAATTAAACTTTGAAAAATAAAAAAATAATCGCTTTATAACACTTTACTTAAGATAATTTTCTAAAATGTTTCTTTTATTAGAATAAAAGTGAGTTTTATGTAATAAATCTTACATATAATAATTAATTAAAACACAAAAATTAAAGTTTTAATTTTGTAGTTTTTGATAACAACTACAATTATCATTCATTTAGAGAATTTTTTAATAAATTTATTAAAGAGGACTTTAATCATTTCTTTTTTAATTTTTGTTATTTTGTTGTTTTAAAATTCAAGAAAGATGATTTAAAATAAGTTTTTATAAATAATTAATTTTTAAATGAATTTAATTATTTTAATTAGTAAAATAATAATAATTTTAATAATCTCAAATAAATAAATAATTTTTAGCACAATGAAAATATTAACAATATTGAATTTTAGTAAGAAATCTAATAAAATAATTCAAATTAATAATAAATTATTTTATAAAAAAATTAATAAAATATATGAAAATAATACAATTTTATTGAATATTGATATTTTAAATGAAAAATATTAACAAATAATTATGAAAATTTGAAAAAAAAATTATATAAAAATTTATATGTATAATAAAAGAATACATATATATAAATATTTATAAAAATAAATAGAAATTATATATGGAAACATATATATTATATTTAAAATATTATTATATATACTTATAAAATTATTGTTTTTTTATAATTTATTTTTATTTAAAACTGTTTTGTTTAATTTTTAAATATATTTTTAATTTTATATAAAAAAGTTGATATTATAAATTAAAAAATTAATAAATGTCTTTTAATTTTTATCCTAATTAATTATATGACGTTAGCCAATCTACTTTTAATCGTTTTCTTGTATCTTAATCAATCACAGCAACATAAGAAAAAGGATTTACTGGCTTATATATATTCCTTGCAATAATTGGTAATATTTTTTTTATTAATAGTTTATGAATTTATAAATTTATTTAAAAAACATAAAGGAATAATATACATAATTGCGAGTTATTATTACATAAATATAAGATTTTTCAATCATATTATTGAAGATATAGTATATTTAGTCAACGTAAAAAAATATAAAATAAACTAATAAAATTAATCAATAAAAATATACACTAAAAAAAATTAACAATAAAAAATAAAAGTACAAAGAAGACGAAAGTAAAGAATTATACCGACCTCTCGTATATTGCACATTGAATAGTATTCCAGTATTAGTATATTCTATCCTTTGTGCATTTGTAAGCAAAAAGGAAGACGGCCTAATGTTAGTTTTAGGAACAGATTCCGTAAATATATTCCTAAGTTATGCTTTGATTCAATATTTGGTAATTATTCCTTAAAAAAAGAAGGTAGTGATATTGATAGTTGGCTTTATATAAGAGATTTGTTTTGTTATGTGATTTTATTTGGTCTTATTTTGGTTTTTTTATTTTTAGAGTTATATTAATGGTATTTCGGATTTACAGTTTTATGTTATTATATTATATATTTTTTAGTTCAATTGCAAAATGAAGATATAAAGTCCGCAATCTATAGAATGTTGGGTTTAATACATGAGGATGATTCTTTTAATGCTGAAGATCAATTTCGGCACAAAAAAAGAAGATCTTCAATTACTGAATTAAAATATAAAGGCTTTATAGACAGAGAAGATACTAATTTATAAAAGAAAATAATGAGAATGGACGCATTATTAAAAGTAAATTTTAAAGACTAACCAAAAAAAAGGAGAAATTTGCCCAATGGCATTAAGCTGTTTATATTGTTATGTTTGCTATTAGAAACAAACATAAATCAGAAAAATAAAAAAGAAGTGAAGATTATGCCAAGCTTTTTGCAAAAAATGATGATGACTCTTCCGATAATAACGAGGATAATAATCATTCTTAACCAGATGTTTTCTAAAAACCGAATGATATTAAAAATGAGGATGATCAACTTATTAATAAAGAACAACTATAAAATCCAGATTTAGAAAATGAAAATTTAAATAAAAATGAAAATGAAAATAATTAGGAAAAAATTAAGAAAATTTAGATAATTATTCAAAAAGTATGAAAAGTAAAAATAATAATAATAATGATAATTAATCAAATAAAGATGTAAAACCGAATTCTTATGTACCTGGATAAGGGCCTATGGATTTAGACAATATAAACGATGTGCCAGAAGATTAAAATATTGATAATTAAAAGTTCTAAGTTAATTTAACTTTTCCTTAAAATTTTATAGATAAAATTCTTTTTATTATTTTTTTCCCAATTCATTTAATTATGTAATATTTTATTTTTTTAGAAAAAAAAAAATACATACATATATTATTATATAGATTTATAATGCCTAATTATCATATAAATCCATCTCATAGAAAGCTTATTTTAAGTTTTTTTTTAAATTTAATTATTATATGTGCACTTATGGTTGGCTTACATTATCTAATACATTATTCTTGTTTAGGAGCTTAAATATAAGAATCTGTTTTTAGTTTATCATTGACAGCTATTTTTATATAATTGCCATACTTTATATATAACTATTAGTTTTCGAAAAAAGAAAAAGATCCTTTTGATTTTTTACTTACTTTTATTTAATTGGGAATTTTCAAACTTAGCTTTTGTGTAGGAATTTCTTTCTTGATTGATGGAGCTGTCAATAATGGATCGATGGTTATTACTATTAATAGAAGTTCGAAAATAGTTATATTAATTTATGTAGGATGCCTTTTTTCTTAGTTTATTTTATCGGCTACTTAAGCTTTTAAAACAAATATGAAAGTAACTGTTTGGTTTTTCTTATCTTTTTTTACATTTATTATTCCGTCTTTAGTACTGCAAAGTTGATATTTGTTTTATTATTAATATTATATATTTTATATTTTTTAATAATTTATATTTATTCTTTTTTTTAAATATACATTATTTTAATATTTTATTATTTTATATAAATACAATTATAAAAATTAATAATTTTTTATATATATCAAATTTATGCTTATAATTGCACTAAATTTTTATTATTATAATAATATATATCTATTTTTTTAATTTATTATAATTTTTTACAATTTTAAAATTATTAAAATTATTTATTTATTATATTAATATTGTTATTAATTTTTTTTTAAATTATTTATTATTTTTAAAAAATTTTAAATATTTTTGAGTTTATTTTTATATTCATTTATTTAATTTTTTAACTTGTTCAATTAAATTAACTATTTTTTATTTTTTTAATTATATAATTTTTCTAATATAAGTTCCTTTTATATTATTGAATTGCAATATAATTACAACTAGTCCTTAGATTTTTATTAATAATATAAGTTTTTAATTTAATTAAATTAATTATTATTTTAATAATTTAGCTAATATCTATTTTTTATTATAATATTTTTGTTTTTTTATTATTATAATAATTATAATTTTTTTCGATAAAATATTTTAATAAATTATACTTATATTTATTCTTATTTAAATTTAATAATTGTGTTTTTTTTTTATATATATTTTAACATAATTTATTTTATTTATCATTAAAGTAAATAATTTTTTTTTCTATTAATATTTTTAATTAAATAATTATTAAAAATTTATTAATAAAAATTAAAAATCTTGAAAATCTTATAAATAAAAATATAATAATTATTATCTTATTTGATAAATTTATTTAAACAAAAATTATTTTATATTAATAAAAAAAATATCATTTCTTAAAAAAAAAAAATTAAAAATATTTTATATATTTTAAAATTAAACTATATCTTTTATCAAAATATTTAAAATAAAAAAGAAAATTAAGAATTGTTTCGAGAATATTAAAGAATAAATTATAAATTTAAAAATAAGTATTTTTAATTATAACATGAATGAAAAATATAAAATGAATATATATATATATATATTTATATTAATAATAAAAATTTAATTTTATTTATGTATTAGATTTTAAAATAATTATAAAAATATATATATATATATTTATATATTTATAGATGTTATTAAATTAATATTAATAATTATAAATTTAGGAAATATTATTTATTATTTTAAATAATTATTATTTTTTATTTTTTTAAAAATAAAAAATAAATAAAAAAAGAAAATAATTATTATTTTATAAATAAATAAACTCTATTATATATATAATTTTTATAAATAAAAATATATTTTTTAATTAAAAATTATTAACAAAAATGTCCTAAGATATTAACGCTGCAAAAGTACATGCATCAGCAGCATTAAGAGATTATAATATTGCACCTCGTGCCGATTATAGAACTGTATGTAAAGTAGATGGCCCTTTAGTTATTTTAGATAATGTGAAATTCCCAAAGTAAAAATTTATCAACAATATTATAATTAATAAAATATAATATTAAATATAATTTATTATAATTATTTTTTCCTTTAATTTAAAATAGGTTTTCTGAAATTGTAAATGTCTGTTTAGCTGATGGGTCTATTAGAAAAGGTCAAGTTTTAGAAATTTGTGGAAAAAAGGCAGTTGTCTAGGTAAAAATTTCTTTTTAATAATAAATAAAAACTATATATATTTTATTATATATATATTTTTTTCTTTTAATTATTTTATTTCATAAAGAATATATTTATATATATATATATATAATTAATAAAAAATATATAATTAATAATAAAAAAGATTTTCGAAGGAACAGATGGAATAGACAATTTATACACTCACTGTGAATTTACCGGTGAAACACTCCAAATGCCAATTGCAGAAGAAATGTTAGGCAGAGCCTTTAACGGTTCCGGTACCCCCATAGATAAAGGTCCTCCAGTATTAGCCGAAAAATTTTTGAACATTAATGGTTCTCCAATTAACCCATGTTAACGTGTATACCCTAAAGAAATGATATAAACTGGTATATCAGCCATTGATTGTATGAGTTCAATTGCCAGAGGTTAAAAAATTCCTCTTTTTTCCGCCAATGGTCTTCCTCATAACGAAATAGGAGCCTAAATAGTCAGATAAGCTTCTTTAGTTAAAGGAAAAGATGTCTTAGATCATTCTGAAGAAAACTTTGCGGTAGTATTTGGTGCTATGGGTGTGAATATGGAAGTAGCACGTTTTTTCAGAACTGATTTTGAATAAAATGGGTCTATGGAAAGAGTCGTTCTTTTCTTAAATTTAGCTAATGATCCTACTATAGAGCGTATTATTACTCCTCGTTTATCTTTAACTACTGCTGAGTAAAATTTATTTTTATATTATAATTTTTTATATAGAAAATAATAATATTATATAGATATTTAGCTTATGAAAGAGAATTGCATGTGTTAGTTATTATGACTGATATGAGTTCTTATGCAGATTCTTTAAGAGAAGTTTCTGCTGCAAGAGAAGAAGTACCAGGAAGAAGATCTTACCCAGGTTATTTGTATACTGATTTATCCACAATTTATGAAAGAGCTGGCCGTGTTAATGGCATTAATGGTTCAATTACTTAAATTCCTATTTTAACAATGCCTAATGATGATATTACGCATCCTATTCCTGATTTAACTGGATATATTACTGAAGGTTAAATTTTTATTGACAGATAATTACATAATAAATAGATTTATCCTCCAATTAATGTTTTACCTTCACTTTCTCGTTTGATGAAATCTGCTATAGGTAAAGGAATGACAAGAATTGATCATCCGGAAGTTTCTAACTAACTCTATGCTAATTATGCTATTGGTAAAGATACAGCTGCTATGAAAGCTGTTGTTGGTGAAGAAGCACTTTCTGATGAAGATCATTTATATTTGGAATTCTTGAAAAAATTCGAATCTTAATATATTGCTTAAGTATATATATTTTTTTAAAATTCTATTAATATTGTTTTTTTATAATAGGGTCATTATGAAACTAGAAGTATTTTCTAATCACTTGATAAAGCTTGGGATTTATTAAGAATCTTCCCTCCAGATTCTTTAAAGAAAATTAAATAAAGTACAAAGGATGAGTTCTACGCTAAGAGAGCTGATGATGATGATAAATGAAAAAACTAACTTTTTTTATTAATTTTTTTTTATTATAATAAAATAAATTATGGAATTTTTTACAAATAATAATTTTTAATTAATTATACGAATAAAATAAATTTATAGATATTTTATAAAATAAAAATTTAATATTTTTTTTATTTTATTAGACATAAAGTATTAAATAAAAAAATTATTATTAAATTTATTTTTTATTTATTGAAACAAATTTAATAAATATTTAAAATTCCATATCAATTTAATTTAAAATTTTTATTTCCATATATAAGAAAATGTACGCAAAAATAAATATATAAAATAAAATATCCAGTAGCCACATAAATAATCAAATTAGATAAATCAACTTCACCAAAAATTGCATTATCGCTTTTTTTGTAAAGAACAGAATCAAAATAATTGGAATTAAACATATATTTTCTATTCCCTAATATATAAAATTCGAAATATAATATAAATTCCATTTTTTTTTATTATCATAATTATTTTTAATCAAAGAAATGAAATTTAATTCCGGTGGGCATAAAATAAAATAAACTTTCTTATTTTTATTTTTCGTATATTTTTAATTCTACTCCATCAAATTAATCATTTAGATCGGATTATGATTATAAAAATCATCATCTTCCCTAAAAAACTCAATAAAAATTTTACTTATATACATAAAAGACAACGAGCTAGAATCCAATACAAATAAAACATTAATCAAGCAAATTATGTAGAAAACTCTAACACCGCAAATCAAAAATAGGAAAATAATCGAATATTATACTTATTTTATACCCAAGATTATCAAAATTATATAAATAAATACTCTTGCAGTTATATTTATTAAATTATTTATGAATAAAAGGTATTTTAGGTTTAGATGCTTTTCTAGAGTAAAATGAACTAAAAGACTTAGATTTAATGTTATTTATTATTTTTTTTATTCTTCTTTTTACTTGTTTGCTTTATTTATTTATAGTTTACTTTCTAAAAGTCTATTTGAAAACGTTTTCTATTTTTAATTTTTATTATCTTAATATAAATAATATTTATTCCTGTTTATTTCTACTAATTCCTATTCATTCACTAATGCTACACTATTTGGTTATATTAGATTTTCTTTAATCTCCTATTATAAAAGTTAAGTGTTTATTGGATAATTTCCTATTTTATTAGAATATAAGCTTTTAAATGATTGCTAGTTTGTTAGCGTTTCTTATTTAAGTTCTCCTGTACCAAAACTTTGAAAATTCATTTCGTTTGCAAATTCTGATCCAGAACTATAAAAAGAGTGGGTTTAAATATTAAAAGCTACTTATGTATTATTTCTATTTTTTCTTTATTATTTATTTATTTCGTATTGTTATTATTATTATTCATATTATTATTGCTGAGAATATTAAGGTTATTAATTTAATTATTGTTAATTGACTAAACATATTTATTTTTATTAAAATTAATCTATTTTTTCTTCATTTAAAACGTATTTGAATTATTATATGATTTCTAAAGTTTATTAATTTTTTTTCTGATAGATATTAGTTCATTTGTTTTACTTTTCATTTATTTCATTATAAAAAAAATAATATTATTTTTATCTTTATAGAATTTTTTATGTTAAAAATAATAAAAAAATAAATATGATTTAATATATTTATATATATTAATAATATAAATAATTGCATTAAATAAATATAATATTAAGAACTTAATAATATATTTATTCTTTAATAATATTATTTATTTTGTATAAATATTATATTTTTAAAATTTAAAACTCTAAAATAAATAAAATAATAATATAAATATTATTTTATACTAATTATTTATTTTGCAAATATAAATATATAAAGCAATATTTATATTTTTTTAAAATTTTTACAACATAATAAAATAAAGTTTAGTAAAATAATAACTTATTAATTTAGTTTAGTAAAATAATAACTTATTAGTTTAAATTTATATAATAGAACAACTAATTTTTTAAAAAAATTAATTTTAATTCAACAAAAAATCATTTATTCTTGTAAAAAAAAACATTATTATATTTTTTTGGATATATTGGTGGTAAACTAACTTTTCCAGGATGTGTATCAGCAAATATACTTTCTTCTTAGATAATATTATTTATACTATATTTACTAAGTTCTATATATTCATATTAAAAATATTATATAATAAAATAAATAAATTAATTTACTTTATCTTAAAGGTGAAGATATGAAATTTTTTTTATGTAATTCTTATTAAGATTTAATATAATGTCTTAGTTTTGAAGGGGAATTATTTTTTTATTATGGTTAAAATTTATAAACATTAGTATTTTCAAATCCTCTAGTTTTTAGATAATTATTTTATTTATTTTGCCAAAATTTTTTTGGGTCTGAATTTTTTTGCATTATAACAAATAAAGACTTATCTTTTTTTTTATTGGTCTATTAATTAAACCTTAATATATTTTTATTTTTTAAAAAAACAAAATTACTAATAAGGTATTGTTGAACCCTTTATTGTCTTATTTGATTTTATCATTGCAAAATCATAATTTTAATGAATTCTTTAATTCCTTGCCATTTTATTTTAATTTGAAAAAGGAGAATTTTCTTTTAATTATTTTTAATTTAATTAATATTATAATTTAATACCTTCACCTTTAATGTGCTGTTTTTATTCAGTTAGTACAACATGATTTTTATTATAATTTTATCTTATTTTTCTTGTACTTTATTTAACTGAAATACATATTTACATTTTTATTTTTTTTAAAGACAAAATAAATTTTTAGAGTTAATAAAAATACTAATTTATTATACATAAAAATTAAAAAAACAATAATATTAATAATTAATAATTCAATTATTAAAAAAAAAAAATTATCTATAAAATTTTACTATTTATAAAAAATAAACTTATTTGTAAAAAATAAATTATACAATATATATACATTAATTCTTTACAAACAAGAATTCCTAATTTCATATTTTTCTTTAAGTATCATAATTATATTTTTTCCCAAATTCCTATTTGAAATCCTTAATTATTAACAACATAAATCTTATCATTTTAAGGTAAACAACTTATAAACCCATTTGGATTATTGATTAATTAAATAGAATTTTTTAAAAAGTCAACTATAAACCCCTATTAAGATAGATAACCTATGAGAATATTTTATTCATCCAAAAACTCGACGCATTAAATATTATTTTCAGTTTTATTTTTAAACTTATAATTAAAAATAATTTAATTATTTACCATACTAATTATATATAAATCCCCACTTTCCAAAAAAACTAAAAAAGCAAAAAAATCGAAATTCAAAATATTAATCCTTTAAATAAAATTATTCTCGAGTTAACCAAAACTAAAATATTTAACAACTTTATTTTAAGTCCAATTAATAAAAAATACATAACTTTCAGTCCCTACTAATAGCAAATCTCTAAAAGCATTTAAACAAATAATTTATTTATCTTCATTTAAAAAATTAATTTTTCTGATTTCTTTGAAATTCTTTTTACTATCTAGAATAATAATATATTTAAATTATTAGCATATAGCTAAATATCTGTCCCTTAATTTTATACATTAACATGAAAAATATTTTAATTATTTTATTAATATCTATTATTAAAAGTCCCATATTGTTATTTTATGAAATAGATGAATACATATTAATAGCTTATTTTTTTAAAGTAATATTATGTTAACTAATTATTCGTTCGGAATTTGTTAATAGTTGAGATAATAATTTTATGCTTCTTATTTTTAAATATTTACTATTATCATTTATCCATTTTCTAATCCTAAAATAAATTACTCATCCGATATTCTTATACATCTTGTCCAAACAAATTATTTTTATGGCAAATCTATGTAATTTTTATATTAATAAATTTATTTTTAAGACATATAATATTTATTTAAGATTTTTTTAAAACAAATTTTTATTATAATAAAATATATTAATTTTATATATATTAAATAAATAATATATAAATGATAAAACAATATATATTATTTATATTAGTATTATATAATAATTTTTATACTTTTAATTTCTTTTTTTAATTTACTAACATTTATATATTATCCTATTATATAATTGTTTAATATAAAATCATAATTTTAACAATTACCATACACTAACTTAGAATTTTTTATCTTCAGTAATATATAATGTATTATCTTTCGCAAAGCATCCTACAAATCCATTTTAATTTTCAATAATATTGGCTTTTTTTAACTTAAAATTACAAATAAACCCATGCATTTAATTAGTTCCTATAATAAAAGAATCTTCATTTATAAACTCTATACACTATATTCTACTATACATAAATAAATTCACGAAATTAAAATCAAAGATGATTTCTCCATTTATAGCATTTATAATATAAACCATTCCAAGTGAATCTGAAGTAAGAAAAAAAATTTGAAATTTTTACTTATCGAAAACCTTAATTCGTTATAATTTATCTTAAAGGTTATAAAGTGAGTATTTTTTAACAACATTTCCTTTTCTCCAATTAACAAAATAAACATTTTTCTCAGTACCCACAAGTAATAATTCATTCCTAAATATATTAAAAAATTAAATGTCTTCTAAATTCTAAAACTTTATTAGTTTGTGCTTTTAAAATTTTTTTTTACTATCCAAAATTATTATTTCCGAATAATTATGAGGTAATACTAAAAATCTATCTTTTAAAGCAATTATTTAATAATACTCATAATTTAAATTTTGCATTAAATAGCCTGTTTACAGATCCCATATTGATATATTTTGGTTTAAATGACTTGTTACTAATATTTTATTTTTTTATAAAAATACAAATGACTTCACATATTTAAAATGTTACTCTTCTTAATCTATTTTTATTATTTCACATTAATCTGTATTTGTATTAATTTAAATTATTTAACCATGTTACATACCGAAAGCAAATTAGTTATTTGATATTCTTAAACATTTGGACCATACTAAAGATTTAATAGGTAAGTCTATTCTTTTTTTTAACTTTAAATTGCTTTGTTCTGAAATATCCATAATGAGATTGTTAATCAGCTTTATTTTTATAAAAAGTATATTATATTAAAAATATTAAAATTAATTATTAATAATAAAAATCTATAATTTAATTATTTTAAATTCAATTTATAAGAAATAATGATAATTATGTCAAATTTTTGTACATATTAATTTATTTAAATGTCCTATTTAAATATGTTAACTCTATTTTAAGTAAATATTAACGTTTGTTACATAATGAAACTTATATACAATATTTTTCATATTTAATAGTTTATAAAATATAAAACAAAAGTTAATATATAATGATTTATAATTTTTATAATATACGAATTTTTTTTTTTTATATATTTATAGAATTATAAAAAAAAATCTAAATTTTGATATTTAATTTTATTAAAATAAGTAATTAAATATATTAAATTATTACTATTTTTTAAACAATATAAACATATATATTTTAAATATAATTAATTACTATAAATTTTATTATATCTTAAAAAAATATATATATATATATATATATTATTTATGTTTTAATTTTTTTTAAATAATATATTAATAAAATTACAAAAAAAGCTCAAATAATATAAAACTCGGATTTAATTTATAAATAAAATTAATATAATAAATATAAAAAGAAATTTAATTTAGCAATCTCATAAAAAAATATTTACACGTAATATTTTATTTTTTATATTATTTATGACCTTATTATAAAATCTATTTTTTTTTTCTAAAATATAATTTTTTATAAAAAAAAAGATTTTAAAACTTTTAAAAATTAAATAAATATTTAAAATAACAAATTATATTTAAGATTTATTTAGATTAATTTAAATAATATCATTGTAAAAAAAATTAAAGTCTTTAATTTATTTGAAAACTTAAAAAATTAATTAAATTTTATCAATACAAATTAAAAATAAAAAATATTACTTAATTTTATTATATTTTATTTATAATAATGCATATTGTATATTTTTTTTTATTTGTATAATTTTAATAAATTATTATTATATTTTTTTTAATATTAAAAACTATATTATATATTTATTTTAATGGACAATAATTTGAATGATTATTATTCTAACTTCTAGATCGGACAATATACTAACCCTCAAGCATATAAAGATATAATTTTAACAAGCAATAATAAAGAGTAAAACAACATTTATATCTACGGTAAAAATTTACCATTTGAAACAAAATAGGTTGATAAATTTAAATGCTATTTTTATTATATTATGGATAAAGCAGTAGAAAAGTAAATAAAAAAATACATAATTTTTTATTTATTTAAATAAAGGAAATATAATCTAATTTTTTTTAATAATTAATTATTGGGATATTCTTCTCTTTCATAATTATATATGTTTTATCAAAATGTACCTGAAAAATACATTGAAAATTTAAACAAACTTTATATTGTAGATCCTTCAATGATTCTGAAAACATACAACTATATGCGTGTGCCGAATTAATTTAAATAAAAATACTAATATATAAAATCGTAAAAAATTTATATACTTGTTTTTAAAAAAAATAACTAAAATATAAAAATAAGTTTTTTATATATTTTAAAATAAGACTATAAGAAATATCCTAATTGGGTTTATATACAAGTAAATTACTTAAATATGTATAAAATGAAAAAGAAAAAATATATTATAGAAGATCAATTAGTTTAGAAAGTCATATAAATAAATCAACAGAATTAGTAACTAAAAATATATTTGGAATAAATTTGGATTAATTAGAACTTGATAAAAAACTTTAAATTCCAATAATTTTAATTGAACTAGTAGGTTATTTTTAACAAAAAATAGAAAACTTTAATGTGTAAGGAATATTTAGAAAATGTCCATCAGATATGGCATTAAATTAACTTATTAACGAATTGGAAAAATAAAATTTCAAAATCTTATAAAAAATAGAAGATCCTATTGTTGTTTCTAGTTTAAATTTAAATATATATATATTTTATATCTATATATTATATATTTATATATTTTTAATTTAACAAAGCTACTATAAAAAAATTATTTAAATAAATGCCAGAACCTATATTTAGATTTGATTTATATAATGAAATAAAATAGTTTAATAAAAGTAAAAATTAAAAAATAATATATATATATATATAAATATGTATATATATATATATATATATATATATTAAAATTTTTAGTATTTCATGATAATTAATTATTGAAATAAAAAATAAATGATTTAGTTAAAAAATTACCTAGATTAAATTATCTAACATTAGAATATTTAATATAATTTTTGATTTAAGTATAAAGTTATAGTGAAAAAAATTTAATGAAGACGAATTCTTTGTGTATTGTTTTCGCACCTGTTATAATAAGAGGTAGATAAACAA